TTGCATTTTAAGGGAGAAATGACAGAAACGACGAAATACAGGTATTGTTTTAGTCATTTTAACATCTTGTTAATTAAATGGAGTGGAACATAAACAGACACAATGCACAATCTAAGGTTTGAAGATTTTCTGTAATGTTGGGCTGCTAACAACAAATATTTGTGAAGAAAGACATAGAATGTCCTGTAAAATTCAACATCTTTGCATGTATATAATATGAAATTTGAAGAGTAAGGTAATGATTTAGTAATTAATAAGTTCTTAGAATCGCAGAGAGTATTCCAAAAAGATGGGGAATTTGGCTAGGCGATCTAAGAAAACCTGAAGAATCACAATTGGATTAGAAACAAGATGACGACACCCACGTACAAACCCCCACCTAGCTAAAACTGCATCTTTATTAACCAAAAATATTAAAGTAATGAATCTAGAGTCATTCATTTTATATATATCTCTTATTAAGTAATTTTATTTGATATGTCACTTGTCTGCCTTCTCCCAATTCAAATAAAATTCACTCCTACTTAGCATTTGTTTGGATTAGTTTATTTAAGTACTCATAAACAAGTTTCACAAAAACAGAGATAAAATTTCTTTCATATACTTACATTATATTTTATAAAACATGATTAAAAATTTATTTACAAGTCATTCCGAAGTCCTTAATATTATTATATTTTGGAGACCAAAATTTCAAAAGCCAGAGCTATTAACGAATAATTGTTCAAATTTATAAATTGATAGTACGTATGTCGTTTTCTGTTTATCGATTCAAGAGTGCTTAATTATCCGGTAATGCTTAGAGCTTTGTGCCAAATTTCTCCTCCTCCACTATCTTATTATATTCTTCACTAAGTGAATTTCATTTCATTCGTTCACTGTCATTGATCGACTTCATTCTTATCATTTTCTTTGACATCTCACATAGAGTACTTTGTTAAGATACAAAACTTGCAAGTTGATCAGTCTAATCGGTCTTCATTAAGACATCAACCACCAACAATAAAAAATGTATGGAGAGGAAAGCATTGTGATATGAAAATGAGAGCAGAAAAGGAAATTAGTGAGAAAATAATGTGCTTGGACGGCTAACTAATTTGTATCATATATATTGTATTCCCTTTGGAATAAGGGATAAATAGTAGCAGCAGTAGTAATTTGATAATCTCCCAAATGCTGCGTCGTTTTCAAGTTAATTTAGTAATTAAAGAGCCGGCAATGGCCGCCATATTATCCAGGTTTTAGTTATTATGACCCCTGGAAATATTTATTATTCCTGAATCCAAGTGGGTACGCCTATTATTTTGTAATCAATTTAAAGAATATACTAGTAATATCTTTTCAGTTTAGTAGAATGTTCTTAAATTTTGTAGGACAGGCTTTTTTGTGGTCGTCATTTATGAACCATGACACTCCCCAAATTTTGACCAGACTTTCGCGGATAAAACAATTAAAAAAATGCAGAAAATTGTTGAAAATTTTCTCGTTATAACATTTATTGGTAATAAATGCATGAAATTCGTTTAAGGTCTCAACTGCAACTAATATTCAGTGGCTGAAACTTTTCTTCAGTTGTATGTGCAACTTATTTTTAATTATGTACAAAATGTCGTTAAAAATATATTGTCCATGGTTAAAAAAAGAGTTGCATGCGCTGGAGATGAATCATGCTCTCTCAATTCAGTTATTTTATAAAATAATTTCCAAAATAGGGTTTTTTGAGCAATAATTTCCCTAATACTCCGTGGCGGAGTCGCTCACATTGTTGAACGTAAGGAAGATATAAATAGACTTATATTTATATATTTGGAGAAATACATAATAAAATAAAAGAGTAAAATACTTTAACATCTCTTATATTTTATCCTACTTACACAGACTTTTCCTTTATTTTAAAAACATACATTTAAGCCCAAACTATTAACTTGGCTAAGAATATTCTAAAAAGATGCTTTTGTAATTAAAATTTATGTTGAACTACTTTCTATTTACTGATTTACCCTTCATAATATTAAATTCCTAAATTTTGACTAAAACTATTTTAAAAAATTTAAGAAATTTTCCTTTACCTTAATTTTATTTTTTTTTATAAATAGGTATTTATTTAATGTTTTTATCACTGGGACAGAAAATTAAGTAATTTGGTTGATACAATCATAAAAAAATTTGAATGGAAATTTGATTAATTCTTTAAATAGATATATAATTGATCAAATAAATTATAAATGTTTAAATTATAAATTTAAATGATTTATATAATACTCCAAACTCACATAATTTATATTATATGATAAAAAATATTCATTTAAAATATTTTCTAGTCATTTAAAAGAAATCTAAATAAATGAGTTTCAATATGTCATGAAGAATTAAAATTATATAATTATGTAATATAATAATCAAAATTTATAAAATTTATAACATATTAAGAAGTTTGAAAATGCATGTATTATAATTTTTTTTGTCTTATCAAAAATTATTTTTTTGACATATATAAATGTTTAAATAATGTCTATATTAAGGAGGGATGATTTGACCATAATAAAAGTTTAAAAATCAAATTTAATAGTCAACTAACGTTGGATGAATAAAAATAAAAATTTAAATATATAAGAAAAATTTGTGTAACGTACATTTTAATTTCAAGAAAGATTTGTATGCTTTTTTTTTTTAAATAGAGGGGATATTTCTGTAATTTAGGTAATGTATTTACTCTAAAATAAAAGAATACAACTGCTTATAGAATTTGCATTTTTATAATTATATATTAAAATTTTTTTCTTTTAGTTCCTCTTTATATATGCGTTTGGGCCAAAATATATTTTTTGTTAAAATTTGAATATTTTTTTTATTTTTTTGTTATTTTAAAATTATATAATAAGTTTTTGCCCAAGATTCTTTGAAGTCATATAGGTTTCTAATTGCTAAAAATATTAGAAAAAATGGATATTTGGCTGCTAATAAATTTGATTCTATTAAAATTCAATTATTAATATTTAAATTAGATTGCACCCAATTAAAATTTAAAAAATAAATTGCAAAGAGTTAAGCTTTAAGATTGAGTAAACTTTTGTAATTCAAGATGTCTCACAACAGCTTGTGCCCAACAAGGACAAGAAGGCTGTGACTAAATTTTCACATAATTTGAGATAAAAAATTTTTTTATATACTTATCTCGTATTCTATCAATCACAGTTAAAAAACTATTTTTATTAGATTCTGTTGTCATTCTAAACAAAAACTATTTTCATTAGATTCTGTTGTCATTCTAAACAAGCCTCTTAGGCTTTTGTCTTTTGGCTTATGACTTAAATTTGTTCAGTGGCTTCACAAGCACTTTTTCAAGTCTCTTAACAGGAATTTCGTTCCCATTGATGAAAAAAAAAAATTTAGAGGTCGAGTTTTGAGTAAACACTAAAAAGACTAAATAATTAAAATTTTAAAATATTATTAAAATAATTATTCTAAAATTAGATTTGGTATATTATTTATTTATATTTGTTGATATGTTAAATATATACGTAAAATTTTAAAACTTATCATATTTTCACATATGGTGCCTGAATGCATTAGTCTTATTGTTGCTTCATATATTCAAATGTATATGTACAATTTTTTTAAAAAAAACAAATGAACTAAATGCCTGCATCAAACATTCAAAGTATACATGAGTGGTGAGACTGGGAGAGAATTCAAACACTTAGTATTAAGAAGCTACTACTACCTCCAATTTTTAATATAAGAATTTATTTAATTTTTATTTTAGTCCTAAATATAAGACTTTAATCTATTTTGTTTTCTATATTAATCTATTTTTTCTCAAAATAATCCTTATAATCATGAAAAGGATTAATTAATCTGCAAGTCCTTATAGTTTCAACGAATTTTGAATTAGGTCCCTATAGTTTTTTTTTCTTTTTATCAGGTCCTTATACTTTTACCTTTTTTAATTAGGTCCTTGTATTTATTTTTCTTTTAATTAAGTCCTTATAATTTCACTAAATTTTTAATTAGGTCCATGTAGTTTTAATTTTTATTTATTAATTAAATATAATCTTAATTAAATATATTAATACTGAAATATAAAATATTAATAATTAAATTAAATTAATAATTATGTAATAAAAAAGTAATAGAATTAATTAATTCAGGAAATTTTTTTAGAACAATTAATTTTTTTGCTGAAAAAATTAAAATCATTATAATAATTCAATATCTTTATAATATTATTGTTTATAAACTAATATTAAATAATATATACTATTTTATTTTTATATAATAGTACTATTAGAATTTATAAAATAAAGAATAAAAAATTCAGGGATTTAATTAAAAATAAGGTGAACTTATAAGGACTTGATAAAAAGAAAAATAAATACAAGAACCTAATTAAAAACATGTGAAAGTATAAGGATATGATAAAAAGAAAAAAAACTATAAAGACTTGATTCAAAATTAATTGAAACTATAAGAAACTGTGGATTAATTATCCCTCATGGAAATTCCAGTCAATATACTTGATTAGTAAAAATTATTTAAGAAAAATAACTTCTATTCATTACAAATAACTAACGTATATAATTTTTTTAATTTACTCAAATAGTCAACTAACTCTTATATTATGTCATAATTTATTAGTTCCGACAAATAACCTTTTTAATTTAATCACTGTACCCGGATTTGGAATTATATATTTGTGGGTCAGCCCGAAATCAGGGATTGACCAGAACAACAGAAGGGGACTGCCACGTCAGTGGTGGGGCCTCACTCTAACAGCTTACAACCAAACATCGCTGGTCATACCCCCAAGCAGAGAAAGGTCAAACCCACCCATCCAATCCAAAAATTTAAAATTTTAAAAATTAATAGATGGGAAAGCCGCCTTTCCCTTTGACTTTCTCCTCTTGTTATTAATTTTTCCCTCTTGTTTTTTTTTATTTTAAATCATTTTGTCCTCTCTTCCCATTTTCAACTGTTCCTGCGTTCTTCACCCACAGAAAATGTCCGCGGCGCAGTCTCCGCCGGCGGCGGTTTCTTACCCGGTCGATGCCGGCGACATTCATGCTTCTTCGCTTGTCAGAACTTACCGCACCTGGAAGGGCAGTAATGTAAGATATGCATTTCATGCCTCATGATCAAGTTTTCCCCTTTTCTCCCTCTGTCTATCTCTGCTAGTCAATTTATGATATTGACCTAAGATTTTTGCTTCCTGAGTTCAATCTTGCATTGTCTCCGACACTGGTTGGTATTGCTCGCTTCCTTAGATAAGCTGATGGAGTATTTGAATGCGATACTGCAGAGGGAAGGGTGGACATTTTTGTGCCGAGTTCATGATTACTTTAGGATCTCCATTTTCCTATTGCTCATTAACTGTGTGATACTGTTTTTCTGTTGATGCGGGGGAATAAATTTTTCTTCTCCGCTTATTTAGTTTTGTTCATGGTACAAAGATTTGAATTTTTTTTTTCATTTATCTGACTATTGGCTCTGTTGAATTTAGCATTATTCGACAATAGGCAGCGTTTAGCTTGCTAACTAATGCAGCAGCTTGTAGTTTACTTTCCAGCTAGCAGTTTGCGCTGCTTCTTAATCCTGAGACCGTGATTGATCCCTTAATTTGTGATTATTATTCCAAAAACAAAATACTGTAGCAAATAAAGCATTTCGATGTTCTCCTCCACTAAAAGGGTAATGATGTTAAGGAGAAAAGTTGCAAGTATTCTGGACTGACTGAAAGTAAATTCATATAGGAGGGCAAGTATATTATATAGAATCAGCATACATGGCTCTATAAATGTAGGTAAATATATGATAAGATCATTACAATCAGACCAAATATAGGCATTTGAGATGGGAAAGAAACATAGATGGATGATATGATAATTACCACACCACAGAAAATTATATGTATTCAATCTTACTCTAACACTGTATTACAATCAACCAATGTAGTTAATTTCATCAGTTTACTGATAAATCTGCGAGATAATTTTTTTCCCCCTCATTCATTCCATTTATGCAAGATATATTGATTAATGGACATTGTATACAAATAGTGTGGCTGTAAGATAAGTGCTGTTTCAGGGTGCTCTGTTCGTTTTAATTTATTTTATGCATGCATGAAGTTGGTCTATTTCATTGGCGATCTTCCTAATTTCACTTCTGAATCCATGACTGTTTGTTTTATTTCCAGGTATTTTTACTTCAGGGAAGACTGATATTTGGACCTGATGCTAAATCTATATTTCTAACAGTATTCCTTGTTGCTGCTCCTGTTGCTGTATTCTGCACTTTCATAGCCAGAAAACTGTTAGATGATTTTTCTTATCACTTGGGAGTGTTGATAATGGTCATAGTTATTGTTCTCACAATATTTGTAAGTTATCTGTGACCTAGCCTTGCTTAGTTATGTAGCACCATAATTTGTTATAAGATGCTCAATAAATGCTGTCATCCAACAATATTACATTCTATTACAGACTTCTTACACATAAATGACTGTTGCTGTCCTTCGTGTATAGTAGTTGCATGCGTTGGGTTAGCTTTAATGTTAAAAGTAGAAAGAAGTATTTATTCCCGTGATCGTGTCAATAACTGTGTTCTTAGATACGTACACATGATATTGGAGCAGAGCCATTTTTGCAATTATTCTGTTTTGTCTTTCTTTGGTGATGAGATGAGATTGCAATTGAAGTTTTAAAACAATCATGTAAGTGAATGGCTGAAAGGCATTCCATATTTAGATTGGGAATGCGGCAATATTTCAGTAACTATCATCAACACTCAGAGTTCTGATGATTTCTGTAAATAATGTTAGAAATTATACCTTGATACTGCTAAGATTCTGAGCAGTGTCTATGAACTTTGTCAATGTTCTCTTGAAAATCATGCTCTCACCCATGTGTCAGTTGGAGAAACAGAAACCAGTGTTGACTTGGCTGAAGAGGGAATAAGAGAGTTAGGGAATTGAAGGAGAAGTCGTGTTCCCTTTGAAGTGCAAAAAAATTGGAGGGTTCTGATGTAGATTTGATCTAAGATTAAAATAATTAAATTTAAACCCGGGTTTTGAATTACGTTGAGGTGCTTTATTGTTGAAGTCATCATTTCCATTGTGTAGCTCTGGTACCTCTTTGGGAATATCAATTTTGCTGCATCATTGGTTTTTACCGTTTATAAATTCTATTCTTTGTTTTCCATATTCAAGTGAACAGAAAATGATGCTTCCTTAGATTGATTTCAACAGTTGCCCATATATGTTCATTATAGTTAATCCAGTACTGTACTCTCAAGTCTTTAACTTTGTTCCCAGGTTCTGACTGTCCTTCTGCTGACATCAGGAAGGGATCCTGGCATAATACCTCGCAATGCATATCCTCCTGAACCAGATGATTCTGATTTTAGTGACATGATCAACAATGGACAGTCTCCAAGGCGACGTTTGCCCAGGACAAAGGATGTCATTGTTAATGGTAGACCTGTGAGGACCAAATATTGTGATACCTGCCAGCTGTATAGACCTCCCCGTTGCTCGCATTGTTCAGTGTGTGATAACTGTGTGGAGCGATTTGATCATCATTGCCCTTGGGTGGGTCAGTGTATCGGATTGGTAAGCCATTTTTTTAAAATATAATCTGTCCTAAATTTCAAAGTGCTGTTATTAAGAGAATACTGCCGAGGACTGCTCCTATCGTGTTAGTTTCATTTAGAAGGTTTTGTGTCCCCCTCCCCCCTTCTTCTCTTGTCATGTATTTACTATTACTAATCCATGTCTACGGACTATTAAATAAAACACCCTTCTTGCCCCAAACTATAAAAAAGTTCAACAAGATATTCAAATTTTAAATACAAACTGTGTTCAAACGTATAGGTGCTATTAAAGGCTAAGTATATAGGCAATCTTTTGGCCAAAAAGATACATAGTCAATCTGCGTTTCTGGTTGACCATATATTGGGATGTTAAGGCAAAGTGCTTTCAAAATATTGAAGTGTTCCGACAGAAAGTCCTAAGTAGTATTTGCATAAATAATCAAATTTGCTGTGGAAGCAGGGATAGGAATGGTCTATCATAATGGCTTTAGGTTCATCTGCATACGAAAGATATAAGAATACGTTGTGCCCACTAGAAATCTTAGTATTTGTGTGCTGATAATTTTTCTGAGTACATATCTTTTTTTCTCTTGCTTCTGCTGGAAATAGAAATTCTGTACATGCATATTGGAATTTTGGCTATTTCTGATTTCACGCCATTAATTACTGTGGCATAACCACAAGGACGTGCCACTGTTAGTAAACTGTTTTGGTAATAGTAGATATGATCATGACGGTGATAAGTGAGTTTTCTTTGGCTTCTTGACTGCAGCGAAATTACCGGTTTTTCTACACGTTTGTCTTCTCTTCAACTCTTCTTTGCTTATATGTGCATGGCTTTTGCTGGGTCTACATCAAGAGGATCATGGATTCAGAGGAGAAGTCAATTTGGAGAGCGATGATCAAAACTCCTGCCTCCATTGCACTAATAATCTACACTTTCATTTGTATATGGTTTGTTGGCGGCCTCACAGTTTTCCATACATATCTCATCAGCACAAACCAGGTTTGGATGCTCATTCAACTCACAGTCCTTTCTCTTGATATCTTAAACGTGACTTTTTACTCCTAGGAGTTTAGTACATGAAGCAAATTTTCATGTAGGCACCAGGTTGTTGTATATGATGACTGACATGATGTTATTTCAACTATCACTTTTATATGTCCATTTCTAGTTCACCGACATGTGAATGATAATCCCCTTTTTGTTTTATTTGTAGACTACGTATGAGAATTTTAGATACCGGTATGATCGACAAGACAACCCATATAACAAAGGGATGCTTGGGAACTTCAAGGAAGTATTCTGCTCTAGCATTCCTCCATCCAAGAACAAGTTCAGGTCTAAGGTTCCCAAGGAGCCATCAGCTCCGTCTAAAAGAATGGGTCTTGGGTCTGTCAGCCCTATAATGAGAAAACCTTCAGGTCACTTGGACTCAGGAAGGCCGGATTACAATAATGAGGCTGGTAATGAAGAAAGTGAATACAAAGATGGCTCTAACAAATATGAAGGACTTGTCACTGATAGTGAATTATCTGATAGGTCCCAGGATTTAGGCAGGAATCTTCCTACGGAAGTGGGGAAAGGACAAGATGCTTCATATGCTGAGCACTCAACATGGGAAAGAAGAAGCAGAAGGTGGGACGTAAGTCCTGAAGTTGGGGGATCAAATGGGATCACTGGTGGCGGAGGAGTGATCTCAACAAGGGCGGCTATATAGAGTGATACAATTCCTTGATGTAAATTAAAAGAATAAAAGAGCTAAAGGGCAAAAGGAAAAGAAAAGGTGAATTAAAGATAGATTGGGTTGGGTTTGACAGGGAAGTAATATTTGTCTTTTGGTGAGATCTGAAACGTGAATGAATCCTGCTTTATTGATAATATACATGATAGTTACTTTGTGAATTTAATGTGTGGTGATCTCTTGAGTCGTTCAAAGTAGAATGTGTGTACATTAAAGGAAGAAAAGTAGAATTTGCGGAAAGTGATAGTTGGAAAGTTGTATGCACATTTTGCATTTTCTCATTTCCATTGCTTTCTCTTCTTTTTCTGTCGTATTTGCCATCATGCTTGCTTTTCTTTTCTTTTCTTTTCTTTTATTTATTTTTCTGGGGTAAGATGAAATTAGGCTGGCTTTGATTTCCTCGTGCTACCCCGTCACCCACACAATGGTATTACTTAAATGAGTGGCATCCGAAGTCAGGCTTCAAAGCCACTTGATGGTGGAAAATGGAAAGTAGTTAATTACTATAGCATGGTTGAGGTTAATTAGGTTAATTTGTTAAGAGTTTTAAGGAGTATGGGAGTTTACATTTAAATTTAAATATGGGTTAAAATACCAATATGAACCCGAATAAGTTCAGTAAATTAAATAGCTCCACCAAAAAGGCCCCACCACTTTTCCTCATGAAGTATTAAAACTAATCAGCACATATCTTTATAATAATGTGTGATTTACAATTTTACATGCACGCTCGACTTCTTTACTTTTAAGGCAAAAGCCAAATAATAAAAACTAGGATTCAAGAACTTGTTTGATTGTGGACAAGAGTGAAAGAAATAGAATGGATTGAAATAGGTTGAAATTGGTTTCGCATGGTACGAGAAAGAATATGACAGTAATAATGTTTAATTCTTGTGCATTTAATTAAATGAAAATGATAACTAAAATGCCCTTCAACCAATTTCTTCTTCCTTGGGTACCACTTGCCAACGTGAACTTAGCAAGCAAATAATTCATTCACCAAACCCAAAGCACAATTTTGTGCAATTATCTTCCTTCCCCGGAACTGACTTTCTAGTCCGATTTATGACAGCTCGGCTGGCCAGATGAACCCAGATAAGTTGGATTGTATATAATATAATTTTGATAAATATCAATTATTTTATAGGATCACTTTATATGATATGCCTCATACAATAAATTAATTTTATAACTATTATTAAGATTTTTCGTTATTCAAATATTTTAATTAATTTTATTTAAAATTTGGGAAAACTAATTTGGAGATCCTTGCAGTTTTCATCCATTTTAAATTAGGTCCTCATGCATTTTTTTTTCTTTTTATTGGGTCCTTAAACTTTTTTCCGTTAAATCCTTTGGTCCTTGCTATTAAATAATTATTAAAACTGTTAAAAATTTCGGCTATGAATAAGTGATAGGCGTCTGAAAGGTCTCCCTCACCATCCAGCCCAAGCAACAAACGACCGATCACCTCCAAGAGATTGCTAACAACACCCCCCCTCTTCAATTCATGCAACTGCAACTCGACACTTCCACTCATAGCCGAACTTAATTAGAGTATGCACACAAGAAAAGAGTGTTACTAATTTTATAAGGAAATCATAAAAAAAAAAGGTTAAGAAGCCTACATGAGCTATATATATATATAATTGCTATTAGAAAATCAAAAGCAAGCTTAGATCCATCGTTTAGTATTTTCTCACTATATGCAGATCAATAATTCAATGAAAATTACAGATTCCGCGGTCATATGATATTACATATATAGTGAAGATTCAAGGAAATATTAATTAATTCCTGAAGGTGTGGGAGATTGCAATAATATTCATATCTTTAGTGGTAGCCTCATGTTGATAGTGAGTAGTTCTATTTACTCTGTTTTTCCATTACTAAAACAGGGGAGGCTCTCCTAATTCACATATCATGCATAGATAATAACTATGTAACAATATGTCACTTTTTCATTTCACATACGTCAGAGTTAGGTCTTTTTTTTGTCCCACCATGAGTGGAAGGGTTGAGGTGTAGTCCTAAAAGAGGATGGAGGTGTTCTCAGCAAACTCTTGTGGGTGACTCACTGTGAGTCACTTGGACAAGAAATGCCTCAAGCCGTGAGAAGCTCAAGACAAGGTTAAGCTAAATGGAGAGAGAGATGTTTCAAACATCTATCACTAATTCAATTTTTTGGATACATGGAAGGCAACAACGAAAAGAAACAAAGGCAAAACAAAGACCCATTCTGTGTTAACCTCCAACATGAGCATGTCTGAGAGTTCCTTACTATCTGAAACCCATAGGAACAACTTAGATCGTATTTGGCCAAGTTATCAGTTTGAGCATTCTTGTCTCTATTGATCAGAACAATCTCTATACTCTAGTCTCATTGAAGCATGTCTTTAATCTCATACCAATGCATAGTTGATATACATAACGGTGTTAATAACTATTTAACGACAAGAACCCAGGGATTTAAGAGGAAAAAGTTGAAGGACCCAATTTAAAAAAAAAAAAACTGAAGGACCTAATTTAAAATTGATGAAAACTATAAGGACCTCCAAATTAGTTTTTTCTTAAAATTTTAAAGGATGTTATTTTTTTATCATATTATTTTTAAGAATATATTGATATTTTATCCATAAACGAAATTAATTTCTTTATTGTTCGTAATTTGCATCCACTTTTCGGGTACCAACTTGTCAACAAGTCCAGCCCAAGCTGGCTGGGCTGCAACATAGGCAGCGAAAAGAAGTCCAGGCTGGGCACCGATTCAGAGACAAACCCAACCCAGCCTACCTGCCAATCCTAGGAATGAATCCGGCCTACAATAGTGTTTTAAAGTGCGCTTCGTCCCACTTGAGAAAAAACCTGCGTCCATCACCAATTTTCCAAACATGGAGAGGTGGAGGAAGATGGGTCAATATCGAATACCTGGCACGGACTTGCGTCATTTTATCATGGCAAAATTACAATAGATCCCGACCAAAGGATTTAAATTAAAAAAAATCTTAAAATCATCAAATTATTTTTAAGTCCCAAAAGACCTCATTGTAAGATATTTTATTTGTTTAATTATCAAATTGTCTTTTTTAAAATATACATTAACAACTGAAAGACAGTCGTTAACAACTTAAGATATAACAATTAACAACTATCGTAACAGGTATTAACGACACATTTTGACAACACATCACAAAAATTTAATATATGAGTTATCAATATTTGTCGCAAGAGTTGTTATTTACTACATCTTAAATTGTTAACAGCTATATTTTCAATCGTGAACACATACTTTAAGGAGGGAAAAAAGATAAGAAAAACTTGATAATTAAACAAATAAAATCTTTTAAAACTTTAAAATAATTTGATAATTTCAAGAGACTTTTTGTATTTAATTCTAATAGACGAAATCTTATTGCAATTTCCCTTTTTATTATCGTTCCAAGGAAGGAATGCTCCTTCCTGCCATTTTTGGCAACTTGCAACCAAATATTCTTTTGGTCTGAATCCCCATTTTGTCTCCTTGAGTTGGGATCTGACTCAAAACCAAACGTGACCTAAGTAATTGTCTCGCATAAACGTGCTACGAGCAAGTTAGTTAATTCCTTTGAACAGAGTAAATTGCAGATTCATCACTAAGATATTACGGATTCAGATGCACAAAATTGGTGAATTAAAGCTAGGATGCAGCCAAGCCTGTAAGTTACCCATCATATTTAAGAAGGGTTATTTTGAAAGATACAGACATACCAGAACCGAATATCCCGAGGTAATAGTCTCAGCAAAATGGAAATTAATTCCAAAAACTGGTAAAGAGTAACATCTATGATCAAGCATAATAGGTATTTAAAAATAGACATATAGATTGAGAAAGCACGTCAGCGGCCCATGATCTTCATTGCATATTCTGAAACCGTTTCATGATAAGAATGCTCAAGTCCATGTAACGCTGTGCACAATTTGAGAGACAAGTAGATTCACTTGAACTGAACTTGCTTCCAGGGGTGCCCGTGATGCATTTATCCCAGCAAGCACTAGTCAGCTTGGCCACCATTTCATTAACCATCGCTCTTTCCTTTTCTTGCTGCATTGGAGAACAGAGTTAATGCAACAAATACATCATATTACTTTTCAATCAAGCAAGGATAAATCTTCTTCCTCATACAGAAAGACTATGCAGAAGTATCAACCATATTCACAGTAAGAAAGGAATGCCTAATACAAGGAGGCAGTGCCTATGATAAGGTGGAGCAACAAATAGTATCAATATATCAACAACAACAACAACAATGATATAACATAAAATCTCTAGTTTATCTTAATAACATCAATATATAAATATATAATAAGATTAATAAGAAACCAGTCAATTTATAAGTTATGGATAATGCGACTCACCTCAGATTTCGTGCAAAGCATGAGGATTACATTCTAGTTTATCTTAATAACAGTGAGGGATAGTTGAAACTGCAAATCGTTATTCAGGAAGATGGCTCAAAAAGTAGCAGTCTAGGTTACAATTTAGACTATCTAATTGTATTGCATCTATTTTTTTGGTTCTTTAATCAATAGAAATTACATCATCACATGTAATTTAGTTTTCACCAAGTTCAGTTCGCCTTTTCAATGGTTGAACAAATAAAACCATAAAACTTGTATGTACACGTCAGGTTGAATAACTGAACAAGCAGGCAAGATACTGGTTTTGACCCAAAGAGAGAGCCTAAATTTACAGGGCCGCCATGTTGCCTCTGTAAACAGTTCTCACCTCTGACATTGTTATACCCACGGGGCAGCCCCATTTCTACTATTCATGACTTAGAATGCAAACGACTAGGTTCCATACTTCCACGCTTGATAATCAACGATCCATAAAAATAAAAACACACAGATTCCGGGAACGAATAAGTTTCCTCATACTAGGCTCCCCAGCTCGGCATGATCTAACAATCATGGAACTACTACAACATTCATGGGGTATGCACATCAATCTGAGCAAGAGACCCGGGGGGGAAAAACAAAAAAGAGGCGCATAGGAATGGAAAAGGTTCACCGAAATCATATCTATCTACCACGAACAACAGCAACTGCAACTACCCCGGAAAACTATTCGTGTAAATCAAATTTCTCAGCATTCGCTCTACTCTTTCTTTGCTCAGAGTTTCATAGAATCACATAGCAAGGAACGGAAGAAATACGACGAATCAAAGACTTACAGCGATAAATTGTTGCAATTCAGCGGACCCAAGAGCTGAACTATCCATGAAGATTGCAGGTTGGAGTGCGGGCACTGATGTTTTCCACCAATTTTCCCGAATGACAAAACCCTAATCGCTGCGCGGGTCAAGGAAGGCTAAAACCCTGTGCTCTGTGGAGACATGTATAACCCTGACCCAACCAACAGGCCCACTAAGATATCATCACATTTTGTTGGGCTGAAGGCCCGCTAAATCATCACCTTTCAATGCTTGTAGGTCAATTTGTTCCCGGCCGCAAGGCTTTTTGTTTTTTGGTACATGACCGCAAGCCTTGTTTTGTGTGTGTGTAAGACTTTCGGTTCATGGAAAAAGAAAATGAGATGGAAAAAAAGAAGGATCAGGATATAAAAATACCCATAAATTTATACCTAAAGTGTGTCCACCGCTATAACCTTTTCTGGAATGCAAAAATACTCTTAAACTTGCAAAATCATAGCAAAAATGACATTGAAGGTAAATTTGATTAACGATTGTTACTTTTTAGAGTGGAGCCCACACTAATATTATAAAAGTATCAAAATACTCTTAACTCAGAAAAACAAAAAAAGACGAAGGTGCAAAATACCAATAAATTTATTGTCAAAGTGCACGAAATACCTTTTTTTTTTTTTTTCACATATGCGAAAGTACAAATGATCATGCAAGTAAATTAATTCTTTCAGTTTTAGCAAAGAAAAACTCTATTAAATTTTATTATATTATTATAATAATAATAATTTTATGGTTTTATATGTGTTTGGTCTGCTAAATTAACATCAAGTTTTAATCTAGCTCATAAAGTGTATTTTTAAGTCTTTTAATGTTAACACCGTTAGTTTCATTCACAGTAAAAGTTGATTTAAGAAATTTAAATGGTAACTTTGTAATTAAATATTAAGATATTAATTTTAAATTTTAAATTAAAAATATTTAATAAAACCTAATAAAGATGGGGACTGTTTTTAATATCAACAACCCATCTTTCAATACATAAAAATATTAATGGACTAAAAATAAACTTTATAATTTTAAGAGGTTAAATTAAAACTTGATACAAATGCAGAAGTTAAAAAGTATAATAGTATAATACTTTATTTTTAAAAAAAATGAAATAATCAAATTACTTGTATGTTTGTGGGTACTTTTGTAGAGTCACCGTTTAAATTTACGGAGTTAGAATTTTTTGTTCATGAAAGCAATGGTGTCAATATTTAGTGACTGAAAGTATATTTTATATATTTAAGATACTAAATTAAAACTTGATGAATTTAGAGCACCAATATATATTAACCATAAAATCATTGGTATTATAATAGTATGACAAAATTTAATAGAGTTTTTTTTTTATAAAACTGAAAGAACTAATTTATTTGCACAGTTATTGGTAATTTTACACTTATGAAAAAACATATAGTATTGGTACACTTTGGCTAAAAGTTTATAGGTATTTTTGCACCTTCGTCTTTTTGTGTCTTTTATTTTGTGACATTTTGGTACTTTCATAATATTAGTGTGGGTCCCACTATAAAAAATAACGGTAGTTAGTCAAATTTAATGGTGATGCCATTTTTGTTATGATTTTATAAGTTTATAGGTATTTTTGTACATCAAAAAAAGTTATAGCGATGGGTGCATTTTTAGTATAAGTTTATGGGTGTTTTTACATCTTGACCCAAAAAACCAAATAGGTGAAATGTGAACTGAGATTCGGGTTTTAATGTTGAAATAATAATAAAAATATATAAATGCTTTCAAATAATAATAAAAACATAATAATTTTTATATAATGTTTTTAATAACTTTTTCTTTAATTTTCTTCCTTCAAAACTGATACTGATATATATATATATATATATTTATATCTCTTTTGGAGTCTTATTAATCATAGCTGCTCCTTTTTTTTTTTAAAGGATTATGTGTGTCCCTTCCGAACAACAAGAAATTAGTTTTTGTTTTGTATCAAAAAAAATTTTTTGTTGTGATATGAAAAATAAAGAATAAACTTCCTAAAATTAGGTTTATTTCTCTAAGGACTCGTGTCTTTCTATTGAATGTAATTATGTTCAAAATACTGCTAGACACAAAATATAAGTATCTTTTCCAATAAAAAAAATATGTTTATTCGATACTGAATCAAATTCTCAATCATGTACATGAAAAATAAGAACCCCTATCACGGATATCGGCCTAAGCTGGTTGATTCTAAATGCTTTTGCATTTGAAGTTTAAAAAAAAGATCTAATATTTTCTGTAGGTAACGTTTTAGGAGGCATATATCTTATGCTTGTTCTTTTCCAAAATGATCAAACTTAATTGCATGCAAGTGAAACAGACAAAAATGACCATCCATATGGTCCAGTTTGATGCTTTAGCTAGCAAAATCAATAAGGTGCGATTGATATTTTAGCAAATTTGATCCTGCATTAAGAACGGTAAAATTATATCGGATCATATTAATATCCTTTCAACACAACATAGGTTATTGAAAGAAGTTGGAAGACTTAGCAAAGTACGAAAGCCAAGATCTTTTACAAAATGGATTCTTATTTGAAGGGCGTACAACCACACCAACCTGCCAACCTGTCCGTTTGGGATCCAAGTCAGAATTTTTCTCATAAGGAATTACGTAATATCGATTCAGAATATATAAAAGTGGCAACATCATTTAATTTGCTGGCTTTGCTCACGCTGAATTATTCCTGTATAATTACGCTACTTGTCAAGTACATGATGTTGCATTGATGTGTCGCTCCTTAATTTAAATTGGCTAATAGAATAATAATGGTAGCGACTAGCGAGGGAAATTTAGAAATACTCTAATGTGCAGGGCAAAGATTTAATTTGTACAAAATCAACAGAGAGCCTGTGTGGAATGTTCATAGAATCACTTAAAAGTAGTTTTGCAATCGTAATTTAAGAAATATGAAATAAGTATGTGAAAGAAAATTTATCTTGAATTATATGAATAAGCACTTTTATGAATCCCTTGTGATCCCAAACGTGCACACAGAGATACTGTAAAAAGGGATGAAATTTATAACTAGGGAAGATAAACAACAAACAAGTCACAGGTGGGTCAGTTCTTTAATAATTAGATTAATTCATTTAAATTTTAGTACAATCCAAGAAACTAATCCAAATTGAACCAAACTGATGGCTTCATTAATAACCAATTAAGGTTTGGTTGAATGGAAATGCCAAAATTACTACTCCCTCCTATCCCTTATTATAAGCAGCATAAGACTCTATTACGTAGAACAAAAAGTTAGTTTATAAATAGGTAAAAATTAGAAGTTTCTTCCTTCAAAATACCCTTATTTATTGGAGAAGTATAATAAAGAGAATAAAAAAATTATTATAATAAAGAGAATTATGAAAGAGAAAAAATGTGTGATGGAGAGAGATGATAGTTTGAGAAATGAGACAATAAATATATCGAATATTAAAATAAGCAATAATAAAGGCAAAATAGAAAATTTGCTACAAAAATTTAAGACCACTTGTAAATGTTGCTTATATTTAAGAATAAGAAAAGAATGGTAGTTGTTGCTTGTAAAAAAAAGACGGAGGGAGTACTTCATCCAATTCTATTCTAACTGCACGAGTTATTCTAAATGCACACGTTAGATGATTAATTTATAAATATTATAAAATTTAATTAAGTTAATTATTTTAAAAAAATATACATTGGTTTCCCTACAATATCCATTTTAATAATTTGCATCGAAATTACCTAATTGATTAAACGTCTTTTAAATATGCACACTCAATAAAAATGGTTTAGAAAAAATATAAATTTAAAAAATAAAATAAAGTAAATTCTTACATTTAAAACCAAACTAATAAATCCGCCAATCATCTCTTACACTATTATATTTTCTATTCTGGTGTAATGTCCTACACTGACCTCAGTATGAGAAAGTAACTATTCAAATAATCCATAGCTATGTATCGTTCTCTGTGTCATTGGAGATCTTCAATATTGAAGTACTTGACCATGCATGCCTTCAACTGATTGCACGACAGAGTTGGTTATCTCCATCGACGCTACATCAAAATTAATGCTATCGCATATGATCACTTGTTATTGGGCAAACATTTGTAGAAAAACCAAAAAAAAATGCTTAAATCTAACATCATCTATCTTTAATCATAATACAATATACGGAGCTATTTTCGGTCCTTAATACAAGGACTAATATCACTTTCAATTTGGTCTTAAATAGAAGACCCTAATCCACTTTGATTATCATATTTATCTATTTTTTAAGGTAATCTTATAGTAATTATAAGTGTAAATATTTCATCAAATAACACTTAATTAGTAAGAATATTTTAGAAAAAATAAAATCTATTTATTACAAATAACTAATTTAATTAATTTCTTAATTTGTTCAAATTAGTCAACTAGCTCTTATATTAAAAATCAGAAATAGTACAATGCAAAACATTATTAAAAATAATAATGGGGATTTAAAGGCAAGTTCTTTTAGTAAAAGATTTGGGGGTCAATGGCAAAGTTTCTTATTCGTTAAGCATAACTGGGCAGCCCTCCAATGTCTCTTTTAAGGGAGGGCCACAAAGATCACTTCGTCTTAAAGGATTCAACAAACTTTGAAAAGAATATATTTAATCTCAGACAACTATAGAAAGAAGATAAAACAACACATACTGTCGTTAATTACGGTGGAAATTAAATTTTTTCTTTAAAGGAGTTATTATTAATTATTGTTGTTTTGTAAAAGAGAGATTGGAAGGCCCAAGCATGTGGATAAAACTACAGAAGGGAGCCTGTTGTTTAAGCAGAAAAGATTGATTGAAGCATGCAAACGCATTATACCTTGCCTACGATATATGCTTTTTTTTTTTCCTTTTTAATTTTATCGGCACTCAGAGCATCTTTTCCTGATTAAGTCTTGGTTTTTTTTTGTTGTTGGTTGGTTAAAAAAGAGAGGAAGATGTGTAAAGCAACTCTTCCTGGCGAAGGAAAGTGTCATTCCTTTTAATTGAAGAAACAGAAACAAAACTTATGTATATACCCAAAAAAAACAAGAAGAAGAAGAACTTACAGGTAATATGTTTTACT